GCAGTGCAAAGGGGGCAACACAACCTTGGGACAGTCAGGAGACTGCAGGTGGAGGTTTCATAGAAAGGCCTCAAACAGATAACACACAGCAAACAATACATGTGCCTGCTGACTTTAGTGAAGATGTTCTGCTGAACACCCTCCAGAACCTGATGATGGAAGCCGTCAGAGGAGAGCTGGTCCTTACAGCACATCCCCGCACAGCTACCCTGCCACCAGTTTCTCTCAGGTGAAGACAGATACATATAATACACACAAACTGTAGCTCTGGATGTTACCTATATTTAAAGCAGTTATCAGATAATTAATAAAACACTAATTGCAAAATGTTTTGGTTTTTCATTAGAAACACAATGACTTCAACAGCAAAGGCTGAAGAGGAGAGAGAAAACAGAAAGGAACCAGCAGGAGCATCGCCTGACCCAAGCTCTGTGTTTTCTTTTTCTTGAAAATAATCCTCAAGTATAATATGAAATAATTTACTGTACATCCTACCACATCAAATAAAAACATCATCTTGTCAAATGAATTAACTCTAATTGATTTTACAAACCCCCCAAAATGAGGCACAAAGGGCACAACAGGGCAAAGGCTGAAGTCTGTGGCACTCAATATGTGCATGGTGTACTTTATTTCTTAAATGAATCATAAATAATGACAGACAATTATCATGGTCATGAACAATAAATAAATAAATCACAGTTGAAAACATTGCTAAACTCCTTTTGAAGTTCCTGGAATCAAAGAGTGCAACTATGGCCTAAAAAGTAGCGATACTGTTCTCAGGTCATCGGGCTAAATGTCAAATAAATGTAACACCTAAAGCTGATGAAGCAGCATTTCTGCTGTGACGTCTTCCCTTCTTTAGTCATTAAAAATCAATAGGATTTGATTCGTTTTCAAGAAAAAATAACTCATCCTGACTGATTTGACATTTCAGACATGGTGTATCTTATTCTGGTAAAATTATCCTCTTGACATTGTTTTTACTCTGACGCTTAAAAAGGCACTTTGTTTCATAAAATATGCAAAAATAGGGGACCATGGTTACAAACAAAGATGCCTGAAGATCTCAAGTGTATTCACTGTGAATACATTAGGAAGGTTGTTAGATTTGGTGTATGTCAACAGTTAATGTCCTTGATGGGTCATTGGGATTGGTGACTGAACTTGAAGATGGTTGGAAAGATCTTGTTGTGAAGGTATTTGACTTGTTCCTTACGAGTTCTCATCCGCTCGAAATCGAAGTAAGGAATCTGTGAGAGAAAAGAAGCAGAAATCTTAGTGGATCTTTTTATTCAACACTAATATTTCTATGACTATGTATGACCAATTGATGAGTAAAACCTTCTAAATGTCAGTTTTAAGAACTTTATGATTTTGGAGCTCACCAAAGGAAACACTTGAAGGATCAAAATGTAACTGACATATAGTGTTTAAAATGGGTACTGCAGTCCAAATTCAAGAGATTTGGAGAGAGCTGTCTCACTCGCCCCCCCCCCTCCTCCCTAGAGTCGATGTGCATGCAGATTGCCATGTGGTGGACACTGAAGCTTCAGTGTTTAGCCAGCTCTGCAACAGTCTTGAAACCTTTCTGCATTCTAACCTCTCTCCATTTCTCAAAAGCATCTTGGATATCTATCCTAGTTTAACTACGTTTCTGGTCGTGGAGTTTATTCGAAAAAACGCTGAGGCTTTTTAGGTCGGGTGGAATCAGTTATAGCTGATCCAGTTTGCTTGTCCGCTTCTATCGCTGCAACCCCTGTTGGTTTGCCGCTTGCCTGGCAAACCGAGGGGCGGAGGGGCAAAACGGCTATGTTGGGGTGCTGTCTACTTCTCTGGTCAAAACATGAACAAACCATTCAGAAATCGGAATCAAAACTTAGAAGGACATACTGGCTGCTGCTCTGTTGACAGAGAAGCCAGAACTTCAACATAGCATGTTTCCTTAATGTCTATAATATATTAAGGTTATTTTATCATTTAATTAAGTAAATATCTTACATACTGGACCTTTAAATATTAACACAAGTATGTAAGAAACTGTTGATCAGCATTGGATGAAAGATGTGGAACTGAAATATAACTACTTTTGTACTACTCGTCTGACAAATGTCCTTAAACCTACCTGCACCACCTCATAGCCCATCCTGCAGAGGTGTCTCCTTTTAGTGGCTTCCTTGCCCAGCAGGTGTCGTGTGTTGCTGCAGAATCGGTTTTGACCATCCAAACACAGGGGCCAGCCTACACGCACAAGACATGACAGGACAGTTTGGAAAAACAGGGCTAAGTGTCATGCTGCTTATCTACAACTCTGTAGGGGAGGAAGGTTAATTGACCAGATTTGGTCCAAAATGTAAATTATTGTTATTTCAAACTAAAATTCATATGTATTAGTATTTTGATGCGAAATTCCCTTGCCAATTCTTTTCAGACACAGTTAACATGTGGAGGAAAACCTTACCTTCTGTGAACGTTATCCCACCGAGACGGAGGCAGAATGTATCCATTCTCATCCAGGCAAATTTCCACATCTAGAGAGAAAGGTGAAACAAAAACAGTGTGTACAGCAGGAGAAGATTCCTTTTCCAATATGAAGAAGAGATACACATAGAATGTATCTCAGCAGGCTGTGTTGTCATTCTTAAAAAAAAAAGTATCCGAGGTCCATGTAGTGTCTTAACCTTTGTATGAGCAGTGCATTAAATTTGTATTTTCTCCCTTTTGATCATCAATTTATGACTATTTCTATACATGCTGCTTACCTACAGTGTAACCACTGGGAGTTAAAGATTCTGGAAGAGTATAACTTCCCCCCCAGCAGCAGTATAAGTGGCCCTTTGATCCGTCTGTAAAAGAGACTCTCCACAGGTGTCTCAAAGGCCCAGTCCTCAGAGGAGAACTTCTTCACATGGAGGGAGTAAGGCAGTCTGGGGCCCTGATGAATAAGACATACAGATTTGTTTCCTTGAACAGGTTTAGTATGCTCATTGAATAACTGGGTGTTCATTTTCAAAAACTCAAGGAGGAGTGTGTTATTCTCACCCAGTAGTGAGTGCACTCTAATGAGGTGGCGAGGTGAAGCTGTGTCAGTTGTCCAAGTGTATTCTTGTCCAGTATCTCCTTCTGTGCTGTAAGACAGAAAGGGACAGCTTACATCACATGCATTCCATAACGTACACAAATATTACATAGGGACTACTGTTATATATCGGAGTATTGGCTGACATGAGCTTATCCTGGTGAAATCAGTATCTATAGGTATGAGCATAAACTCTGTTCTATATGTACCATTATACAATGGTCCAGGTGAATACCCGATTCTGATTGGCTGAATGAAGGCACGTGGGTGTCCATAAACTTTTGATATCTGGACACCAATGGAAGTAGTTCCACTTAAAAAGGAAATAATCTTCAGAAAGGGTAAAGGGGAGATAATGGATTTGAAGTGTCTAAAAATGGAAACTGTGGTTGGTGTTTTTTGTTTTGGATTTTGAAAATTTCATAAAAAAATAAAAAATAAAAAAAAGAGAATTGAAAAAGACCAAGTTCTTTGAGGTTTCTGTTGTAGCTTTCATCACTAGACGTGCACCGATTTACACAAGTTCCAAATTAATGCGCTGCAGACGGTATCTAAAATGAGTAACCATAGCAACGGGGAGGCCGACAAATTCTCTGTGTAAGATTTATTGCAACAAATTAACAAATGTTATCCTAAACCTATATCTATTCTGGCCTATAAAGCCCCCCGTGGCAAGTGAATAGCTTATCCAAACACTGTCTGAGTGTGTTCTTCCGGTGCATCATCCTCTGAGCACCACAAGATGACGCTCGTAACACAAAAGCTGTGCATTTTGTTCGATTTTGTTCAAAGCGCTCACCTACAATCTGACACAAGTATTCTGACATTAATGCTACATTAAATATGTTATTTTTACTTTTTAAAAATGGGAGGTTTGAGAATGTCCCACTATATCATCAAAAACAGATAATTAGAAACTCAGTAGAATTTAAAAATGTGCACCCTTGATTTACTAACAAGCAGTAAAGGACATGGCCAGCCTAGCACTACTGGACATAAATATACGTGTGTATCATTTTTCAAATCTTCCTTTAAACAGGAAATAATGGAACACCTGATAAAATTGAGAGTGACACTGCCGTATACACACACCTTGCAGTCTTTGTAGGAAGAACGGGCTGAAGATCTTGGACATGTAGTTGAGTGGGAAGCGCTCCAGGTGGATGCAGGCGTGCAAAACTTCAATCAGGGAGCGAGGCTGGAACTGGGAAAACCGGGTGGACAAAATGCTCTCCAGCTTCTTAAACATTTGACTGGAGCACTGAGAGAGAAAGGGAAAACACAAGTTAGAGAAAGCATTACTTTTATGTCACGCTGCTTCACAAATAATAAGAGTACATTATCAATTGAGTACAGCGTGTCTAGCAAGCGTGAAAAAAGGATCACCCCTCAATAATGTCAACTGCTATTTAGCTCTTACCTTGAGTTTCTAATTGTCAGTAATGTGAATATAGAGGATTGGAACATTATGAAGAGCCCTCACCTGTGGCAGGTAGTTGAGTCTCCCCATGGCAACAATCTGCTTGGCTATCTGCAAGGTGCTGTGCTGCTCAGCTTGGCAAACGAAGTTCTCAGCCACAGCCTCGAAGATGGGCTCAGAGCGGCACCTCATCTGCATGCAGTACTCCATGACGGTGCTGAGCAGCTCTGGATCACACTTTCCCAGCCTCCCTGACACGGAGCAGCACAGAAGTTCTGAGTTAACTACAACATCCTCACAATCAAACAGCACAAACATCCCTGTTATTTAGAAGAGGCGCCGCAAAGAGAAAGCAAAGGGATAAGTCTGAAAGGATCCCCGTGAATACAAATGCATTCCAACCTGGCAGGTCTTTCTCCATTGCGGCAAGGAGCTTGACATCATGTTGTCCAAAAATCATGAGCGCAGAGAGAACTTTGATAACTTCTTCGTCGCTAAAAGCTTGAAAGACCTGAGATGCTCTGTGACACAGCCTCAACACCAGGGTAATGGCCTGTGAAACAAACATCGGCAATTACACATTATGAAAACAGCCTCCATGTACCACTATATTTGTTTTTTTTGTGTCACTTTCATCACAATCAAAGAAGAGGCCATGCATTACTCGCCTGTCTGTGCTGCAACTTCAGCAGGGACTGCAGTATCATGCTGACTTGTGTCGCCTTCAGCCAGTGGACCATCCTCTGCGTGTGTCTGTTCAGAGTGGACAGCATGAACATCTGGCGCGGGCTGGACGGATCATAACACTGAGCGAGCAGAGAGTACACCCTGACAGCCTCACCGGGAGTGGCAACGTTCTCTTCCACGGCAACTCCGACAGAGTCCAGGACCTCTGTGAGCGCGGCTGACTTGTGGCCCTCCAGGGAGTACGACACCTCACCCAGGTGGCAGAGCTGAGCCACCCCAAGGTCCCTGTGTGAGAGGAGCTGCAGGCACTCATTCATCAGTCTGAGAACCAGAGGGCTGTCAGCACTTAAGTCAAATTCAACACACGCCCCAAGCAGAGTGGCCAGTCCCTCTGCCCGGTCATTGCTGGGGAGATCTGCCAGCCTGGAGCAGAGCTCAGGGATCCCATCCCCTTCAAACAGAGCCTGCATATTGACACGTGCAGCTGCATTGCTTTGCGGGTTTGCGCGTGGGCTGTGTGGAGGGAGGTGCGGGGCTGGTCGTGCAGCTGGTTTTGGCACGCGTCTACCCAGCTGCTGCACGGTGGGTTCATCTCCTCTTTTCCACGGTGATGGCACCGAGGTGGACGAAGGCGCGGCACTCACCTGCTGGACGACTGCCGTGTTCACGTGCGTGCTGTGAAAACTGCGAAGCGGAGTCGCGCGCAAGTGTTCTACAGTTGTGTCCACATTCGAGCGTCTGTCTAAATGAGTGCAAAGAAGAGGAGCGCGATTAAGAGGGAAACAAGCGGAGGTGTGCTGACAAGCCGCCCTGACGGACGATGAGAAACAAGCAATGGACTTCATTGCTGTCTCAGTGGTGTAACAGCTCCTTCCTGCAACAACAAAAAAACCACAAAGACATGAAAATTCACGTTTTTTTTGTTGCACATACTGCCTCATTATGGGGGCTCAGTTAACAAGGTACACAGAGAGAGAGTGCAGTACGTTACGAGACTTCAATATGAAGACAGTAACACAAGAAACTTTAAATTCATCCCTACGTGGTTTTCCACATAGGGATGAATTCAACTTTGGAGAAATCTTACACTTCAAACTGTCAAAAAGAAATCCAGACGACTTACCTTCAATGAGACAGAAATACTATGAAGAGGTGGCTGCGACATGTAACAGAGGTGGCCTTCAGCGTTTGGTAACAACTTGTGTAAGATTACATGTGTTTACATGTGCTGCCCCACTGTGGTCACATGCGGTCACAACACAACGTGAGTTGAACTTCTGCTTCTTCTTCTTCTTCTTCTTTAGAGTTTTATGGCACCCTAAAAGTTGCATTACCGCCACCTACTGTATTGTTCTTTTTAGTTCACTATTCCAGCAGTGCGCATGTGTCCAGTGTCCACCCACATTGATCCATCTATGTAACTGTCCGCTTTGCAGCATCCAATATCATCTTGATTTTTCTGACTTGCTTTGTATTTCCGATGCACAGTTTACTACCATAGATATAAATGCAAGAAATCGGAAGTGCAGTGTAATGCTCCATAAATACCCTCAAATGGTATCGTTATTAAAAAGCACTTAATCGTTAATATCTTAATACTAAGGGCGAAATTATTCTAAAGAAAACAATAACTTAATTTTAAATAGCCCTATATAATAAGGCATAGGTACAATAGGCCGACCAAAACTGTCAGTTTCTTCTTGTTTTTGTTCATTTAAATTAAAGCCAGTTGGAGATCAGTATCCATAGGGTCATGAAATTAATTTATTGAGCTAAAATATCTCAAATTACCGGCGTTTTTTTTTTGTTGTTGTTGTAAAATCCAATTTTAACTGTTCAGATTTTCATTGACACAATAAATGTAATTAAATATAAATATATTTTTTATCATATTATTAATAAATATTGTTCCTCTGAAAGTGTATCAGGAGAATTTTGAATTTTGTTTAACTTCGTCTTCCTCTTCCCCATGATATTGCAGGAAGTGTTTCGTCATTTTGCCCACAAGATGGTGCTATATACAAACAAACTGACTTGCCACAC